ACAGTATTTGCAGTCATGACACTAGGTCCTTAGGACTTAATCACCCCCAAAAGCCCCACTTACACCATCACCTTGAGACTTAGATTTCAACATAAGATCTTTGGGAGACACAGACATTCCGAGCATGCTAATATTTAATTGTAGAAATTATCTCTGCAATTTTGGAATTGAAGAACATTGATTATCAGTACCTGTCTCCGTGCTGCTGTGATTAATATCAGAAGGGAGAAATTATGCTGGCTAATGTTAGAAGCTAGTGTGATATATAGAGAGAGACTGTGTTTGAGAGTGTCAGGGATTTTTTCAACATAACTTTTGAATAATTCACTCTGGTCATTTAGGCAGCAAGCCCAAACACTGAGGTTAGAAAGCTGGCAAAGAGTTTGCTCTGCAAGTTAAATCCAGCCTTTGGGAGATTTTGTGGTGCTCTTAGCTGCCGATCTGTTTCTTAATATATGCAAGGCTCCTAGGCTGGAAGATAAGAAAATTAGTTATTCCCCTCCTCCCTAAGTAGCACAGAATTCCAAGCTTGGATATTTTACTATAAAATGTATCATAAATGTTAGTATAGTATTAATCTGGTTTGTATTACTGTATGATTATATAGTGTGTGTCTATATGTATGCAGATACATACACACACATATTTGCTTTTCTACAAGTCAGTGAGAGCACAGGGCCCATCGCACCGCTGAATGATTTTCCTCTTTTCCTCACTTAGAACTTTCTGAACCTAATCAGCAAGGAACCTTTGGCCAGGCTCCTGGCCATTGGTCCATAAATGAATGACACTGTTCAGGCCAAGAGCTAGATAATGGCAAGTCTGAATCCTGTGTGTGTTTACCCCTGTGTGCTTTTTTCACTTTTCAAAGTCATAACAGATCAGGTACAGTGACTTCTGCTTCCATGTCTGAGCTGCTTGACTAAACAGGAAGGAATCCCTCACCTTAGCCGGCTGCATCATGCATTCCAGCATGTCGCTCTGAGCGTTTCTGACAGCTCAAGCATGTGTTACTGGGGGTTGATCTTGGACTTTTTGATCCATGAATCCCTTTGCCATGGCCTGTCCTCCTGCTCATCATTCCTTGGTTAGCGAAGTAGTCTCGGAGCTTTGTTCAGAAACTCGGCGAAAACGGAACTTTCTTCAAACTAAGTATGTCAATGTTTTTGAATAATTGTTTATGTTTTAATATTTATTTATTTATGCATATAAGAACTGGGGTACAGACCAGAGGTGAAGGGGGTGAGAGGATTCACAAGAGACAGAGTGGGGAGCAGAACAGGCAGATTGACTGAAACCCACTGCTGAGGGGAACAGGGGGAAGACAGGAAAGTTCTGCTGCACCATGTAGGTAGCTCCCCAGACTGGTATTGAACTCATGATTCAGTGGCTGCAGATAGCTTCATAGGTTGCATCTTAACCCCCTGAGCCACCAGGGAGGCCCTGGAATAATTGTTTATAAAAGGAAAAATGCTCTCTCTGGATGTGATGGTGTAATATAATTATTGATTTTTGTAGCCATCTTGCCCTCCCTTTAAAAATGTGTGTTATGCAGATTTTTATAAATAAAACCTTTATTATCCTTTTTAAATGAAAGCAGCTTCACTTCTCCTGTCTTCCATCTACTTTTTAGATTCCGATACTTCCAATATATTCTTCAAATCCCATGCTGCTATTTCTTTAGATGGTTAATGTGTGTTTTAGATAACTGTCACTGAAAATGTAAGCAAATAAAAAATGAACTAGCGGGCATATTTCTGCAGGGAGATTATGTTTTCTCATCTGTATTTTCTGTAATATGTCATATTTCCTTTATAAAAGTTAGAGGTTTCATATAGTGATTACATGAAAATAATTAAATGAACAAGAGTTATAAATGCCATTTTTCCAATTCACTTCATAATAGTGATCCTAGGAATGTGCTTTAATAATATAAGTGGAAAATCTAAGACACTCACTGGATTCTTCATTGTGGTGAAAATGGTGACACCAGAATACCCTCAAATAGAGTGCTGACAGTGCCTCTCCAGGGCCATGGAATTGTGTCTATTAAAAATATCTGAAAGTGGGGGCCTCCCTGGTAATGCAGGGGTTAAGTCTCAGCACTGTCAAACTATCACCAGCCCCTGCAGCATAAGTTCCATCCCTGGCCAGGGAGCTACCCTCATGGTGCAGCAGACCTCTCCTGTCTCCCCGCTGCTCCCCTCAGCAGTGGATCGCAGTGGATCCCAGTGGATCCGCCTGTTCTGCTCCCCACTCTGTGTCTGGGGAATCCTCTCACCTCCCACCTCTGGACTACACCCCAGTTCTTGTATGGATAAATAAATAAAAAATAAATCTTAAAAAATCTGAAAGTGTTGTATATATATGAAGACAAAATACAATGTCCAACATATAAGCTGATCTAACTCAGTTATTCAGATGCTTTGAGCCTCATATGCATAAAATATATACATCAAAAATGTTTTTCAAGACAGTACTCATCCTACTACACATGCTTACTGACAATTTCTTATTTTAATTTGTTTAAATTTAATATTTCAAAGAATTAATCTTTTGACCCAGTGAAGTGATTTCTTGACCAGTGAATGACTTGTGACATGTGATTAACCTGACTCCTCTGAACCATGCAAATAATTTGTTTTAAAATTATTGTAGTGAGAAATGTAATCTAATTCTGTTTTTTATATCAGAGCATTTGAATTGAGGATATTTTAATTTTTCCTTATTCTGTTCTGTTTTTTTAATTGCTGATGATAAAATATTTAAAAATTACAATTATTTTTTAAGTTGACATTTATTTTGTTGTGTCAATATGTTTTACATTTCAAAATATTTTCTTTTACATTTCTGTTTGTGCTAAGGTCAAGCTAGATCTTATATCCCATAGTAATTTCTTAAATTTAAGGTAAATAAATAATGCATAATTGAATGAATGGATAAGTATATGAATGGCTTATAAAATTTAACCCAAATATACTTTCATGAAATAATTCTTAACTTTGCTTTATATTTTATTCACTTTATTACAAAACAACATGAATTCTAACAAAAACGGGATTCACACAGTCAAATTAAAAGACATTTTCATAGTCAAAACAAACTCTCACTCAGAATGTGTTCATTGTTAAGACAGAGTAAAGTTTTAGAGCTAACGCATCAATGTCCACTGTTGCACTAGGAACAGTTGTTGGTGTCAGGACAGACCATAGAGTGGACCTTGGCATCCAGTGACCTTGGCATCCAGTGACCTAGTATGTCACTGGAAGTTCACTGAACTCACTGAACCTGTGCCTCCTCTGTTGTAAACAGAGGGTAGCATTTGCCTCAAATCATTTTGAATACACATGCAAAATACTTAAGTTCATGCCTAACAAATAGGTTAAGTGCATTCTTTACCTCTCTCCCAGCTAGTTGGCCTTTTGAAAAATATTTTTTTTAATCAGCCTCGCAACCCAGCGCTCAACCGCTGTGCCACCAGGGGAGGCCCTAGAAATTAGGTTTTTATGTTGACCCACCACTTGGTTTTAGGCAGGATGAAATTTTAAATATAATCATATGAACTGTAAAATAGTAAATTGACAAAAGCCAGAAAATAAAAACATAGCCTACTAGAAATACAGGAGGAAGCTATCTATTTACACATGTTCTACATACACATATATCTATCATTTATTGGAAAAATAAACTGAAAACATTTTATAATGATTTCTTGGAATAAGTGGGACTATGGCAGGTGGCACCAGCTGTGGCTTAATTTATATAAATTGTTGATTTTGTTTTTCATTAAAGAAGCAATGAAGAAAGTATAACACTGGGTCTGAAAGGGGCCTACTCAGAGAAAAAAAATTAACTGTAGTCGAAGTTCCTGTTATTTACATATTTTTGATAAAATATGTGCAAAATTAAAACTGATACTCAAGCCCTGAATATATTTAGTTGAATTCCTATTGGAGAAAAGTAGCCTTGTTTTCTTGAAAACAAGGGAGTTCATGCTCTGGGATCCAGAAGAAAGCAGCATTTTTATGCAGTATAAGATAAATGCTCCCACAACTGGTGAGAACACTGTGTTTTCACCATTTTATCTCACCCTATGTTGATGTTCATAGTGTATTTCTATAGGAAACAATTAACAGATCATGAGATTCAGTTAGAGAAAACTGATGTAATTCATAATGTTCAAAGTGGAAACATCTTTTAAGTGTGAATACTTAACCTTAATCTTCCCCTCAAGTACTGTTTCTATTAGAATTCTGATTTATGTGCTGGGGACCGGCACTCAATCATAAGTATATACATTTTCTAGATACACTGATGTTTTATTAAAATGTCTACAAAATATTGAATTTTAAAATCCCCTGGTTAGTAAATATTCTTTATATTAACCATTATTTTCCTTGCGCATAATGCATAAATGCTAGCTACACTTTAAACGATATTTTCCTAAGCATGTTGTAGAAAGGCATATGATTGAGTCAACACAAATGCACATCTGTATAATATTTTTGTAAAACAAACAGCAAAATCATAGCTATTTACCTTGCTAAATTGAAAGTTTTCTGGTCAAGTAGGTTTTTCTGGATACTTTCCCCATAAGAGAAAGTGACTCACCGGTGACCTATAATGTTGTGAACTCTGTATTTACTACAAAGTATGCAATACGGTAAAGAACAAAATAAAAATAAATTACTAATTGTTCACTTAGCAATGTATAAAATAAAAAGACCAGCTTGTCTTTTATTCTTAGTTGAAATGAGATGTGTCAAAAGCAAGAAATAGCAATGAAAAGTCATTTTACCATTTTTATGGTATAGATTCATATCAATGTTCTAAGATATTGAAATTTGTCAAATTAACAGATTTTACATTGGAGAGCATTTTCTTTTAGAGCCTTGTCCAATTAAAGTGAATATGTGCCTCAAATTATATGCTAAGAAGCCAGCTCCATACAGTCTCAGTGGTATATCTCTGTGGTAAATAATTTGTTGTATTCTTTTCAGGTTTTTTCTTATTGAAAAGTGGGGTGGCCAACAAAATAAAAATTAAGAATGGCTCACACAGACACAAAACACACGCATGTGTGTGCAGGTACGTACACACGGACACCCCCCTGTCATTCAAATGAATAACCTTGGGTCAATGACAGCAATGAGACAATGATTCAAAAATGTGAATTTCTTGGCCTCCCCGGTGGCGCAGCAGTTGAGCGCTGGGTTGCGAAGCTGCCCGCAGCCTCTGCGGCGCTGGTTCCATCCCCGGCTGCTCCCCGGCCACCCGAGGAGGGTCCCGCATGGCGCGCAGACCTCTCCTGCCGCCCGCTGCTCCCCTCAGCAGTGTCCTTCGGTCCTTCTGCCTGCTCTGCTCCCCGCTCTGGCTCTGGTGAATTTTCTCACCCTCCTGCGCTTCTGACTGTACCCAGTGCTTGTGTAAATAAATAAATAAATCTTTAAAAAAAAAATGTGAATTTCTTTTTGTTGCTACTGGTGTACTTCATAGGAGACTTTTAAATAATAAATATGCTTCTTTTTAACATAGAATGAGGAAAATAGTTTTAGTTTCAACTCAATCCTGATTTTTTTAGATTTGTGGTAGATTATTTTACTTTTGAAAGAATTTATCCCCACATGCACAATGTTTGCATTAAAAGATCTAAGAACCTATATACTATCTTTTTGTTTTTGCATTTGGAGTATACATAAAAATTTAGTCCTTGAGATATTTATGTTACATGGCATTTTTAAAGGGGTTTGTTTTAGTCCTAACAAGTGAAATAATTAGCAGTTAATAGAATAAAACATGTTTGATGGTAATTGTGATTGGCATTAAGCATATTTCACTGATTGTTTTAAATTTTCTGTTAAGTTGAAGGAAATGGGGAAGGAAGCTAAATGTGTTTTAGTTTCTTCTATATGACATACCCAGGATAGATATTTTGCAGAAACTATTTCTTACAACCCCCTCTGGATAGTTTTTAATCTCATTCTAAAGACAAAATTATCAAATGCAGAGAGGTTAATACAGAGTCAGAAATATGAGAGGTAGGCACACTCCTCTCTTTACCTGCAAATATAATCACTCACCAAGCTCAATCAAATTTTCCTCCTTAGAGTCTTTTATAGCATCTCCATTTTTTTCTATATTTCTTTTATTATTGCCATTGACCTCCAACACCTCTAGCCTGAATCCCTGCAATAGTCCCCAGAAAATGCAGTAGACCTTCCTCACTGCCTCTCTTTTCCTACAGTGTACAACTAATCATGAGAAGCTTTTGCTTAACATTCTTCAGGGTGTCTCCATTTTTCATAGGCTGCAGTCTGAAACTCTTGGCATGCTCCGTAAGATTCTCTGCAATCTGCTCCCTGTTCATCACTCAAGGTTATTTTCACTGCACTCTCATCTATTTCTCTTCCAGACTTCTTAACCATCTCAAGATAATTGCAGTTCCGTATCTATTTTCTGCTTCTTTACATCGAGTATTTTGTCACTTGTCTTTCTTGGCCCCTCCCTAACGTTGTCCCTTCCCAGTCCTGTTTTCTACCTAATAGTTTTCTGTAAGGTAGTTAAAGCATCACTTTCTAAATAAAGCCTTTCATCACCAGTTATCATGACTCTGATCTCTCTTGTGTGAATTGACAACTCCTGTCACATACATGTTTCTACTGAGGCCCCCTAACTTTCTTGTCTAAGTATTAAACTTGCATGTCTTTCTCTGACTGTGAAACTCCCTTGAGGACAGGAACCGTGCAATATTCTGCATGCAATTTGGGTAATAGGCACAGTATTTTGGACATCTTAGGCAGTATTATTTTGGGTGTGAAAGTGTATTGTTTCAGATGTGAAGACTAGTGCATTCAATCAATGGAAGGGTTCAGTAGTCACCAACAACCTACAAGGGAGTGAATTAGCAGTATGAATTACCATTTGCAGGCATTTGTCAGTTATGCATCCTCTTTACATTTTGTAATCAATCTGGCTCAGCTCTAATTTCTCTCTCTCTCACAACCCCCTCCCCATCTCTACTTCACTAGCTCCCTGGGTGTCTTACAGAATTCACATTTCCAGCGGACCTAAGCTGGTTTTCCCGAGTGAGCCAAGCAAAATGAAGTGAATCACTAACAGTAACAGGTTCATGTATTTAAGTGACCAAGCCAAGAAAGGAGAATTTTTGAGAATCCAGTCGCCATTGTTCGAGGTGTCTACTGAGAGTCACTCTGTTAATTTTAGCTGACTTAGTAATGCTAACTGGGAAAAGGAGAGCAGACATATGTGCAAATTATTTATCACCGAATGAAGTAACTCCAGCAGGAAAAAAACCTGTAATGTTTTTAAGATTTTAGCAGCTAAAAGAACTAGAGAAAACACATCAAAAAGGTTCAAAATCTTGTCAAAATGGTCTTACATTATACATAACTGAACAGATTTCAAGTATATAAATTTTTACTTCCAAATGAAAGTACTAATAATAAAGTTATTATTTCTCATTGTAATAATGTTTATTTTTATAAGCTTACAGTCTTCTTTGTTTCTTTATCAAAATGAATTGAACTGCCTTCCATTTTGTTAGTAATCCAGTAATTTTCAAGTCATTTTTAGTGTTTTCTTTACTCTGACCATCTCATATTGTATTTGTCACCCAAATCTAGTAATTCTAGGTACATAAGGTCTCTAACAGTTTTTCTCTTGACAACCTCTCCTGCAACTCTACTTCAAATTACCTTATTTTTCATCAGTACTAATGAGGTTAGCTAACCTATAGCTAACTAGTCTAAATTTATACTGTGTTCATTTCTACCTTTTCATTTTTTTCTTCATACTACATCTAAAACTATTGAAAATGCAAATATAAACATGTTCCTGTCCAGTCCCACACCTTCCAAAGGGGTTTCACAGGTATTAGAAAAAAGCTAGTAGACTAGAACTTTGTATTATCAGCAGAGATGATATGCCTTAATTCTCACCCTAACTAGGCTGCAAGTTTCAGTGTCAGAGACCATGAGTTTAATATGTTTTACCCCCAAACAATCTGCAGAATTCCAGACTCTAAGCAGATAGTCAATAAATAATTTACTCTATATTTCTTACCGTGTTCATGCTCCCTTAGTTGCTTTAGATTATCTGCCATTTCTGCAGCAGCCTTTTGTGCCAGTTCATTGAACCAGAATATTTAAATGTTTCTGTGTAGCATTTATTTTATGTCCACCCTGGTTTTTACAGCTTATGAGAATTAAGTACAACCAGAAAAACATTTGGTAAATTGAAAATTAAAGCATTTATGTAGGATTCTCTTGCCGAGTATTTGCATTTGTTTGGGTTTATATACCGTGATTGAAATGCTGTAAATGTGAAGTGTGAGAGTTCTTTAGACGTTTAAGATTTTAGAAAAAAAAAAATCTAAACACAATAGATGAAATAATAGCACTAAATGTATTTTATCTCTTCTGCATAAGTATCTTTAGCAATTATTTCCTTTTCATTCCCTTTCCGCCCCTCACCCTCCCCTTGCCCTGCCAGTGATACTAAGGTGAAATTATATGCAAAATCCAAATTCTTACATAAAAGAGATAGGGGCCTTTTTACTAGACTGAGGGAGGAAAACCTTGCGAGAAAGGTGTTGCTAAAACTGTATTAAAGTGACTTCATGCTCTGAATCTGCCTCCAGCTTTTTGACAGTCATTGAAGGAGTATTGGGGCAGGATGAGATGGTTTCCAGTTCTTTCCAGGCCATTCACAATTTCTGCTGCTGAGAAGACAGTTCTTCAGCAGCATTCTAATTGCTTGAAACAGAAAGAGGGTTTGCACTGATAAAGAGATATTATGAGGAAGGCGCATGAAAACACGGAGGTGTTTTATTCTTCTCTTTCTCAGTATATATTTTGAAACCCTAGGGGAAAGCAAAAATATTTACTTTGAATCAAAAAACTGAATTTATGTAGAACAACATGGAGATGTGTAAATGGCTTGAGAAGTTCAAGTATGCCCACTATAAACCTTTGCTTATATGCCTAAAACACCAATAAATATTAATTAAAGTAGGATTCATATAGGAGGTAAATAACACCATGTGATCTGAATAAGAACATTCAATTATATAGTAATATACAATCTATATAGCTCTATCAAATTCATTACACCCAAGATTATGTGATTGAAATCTAAGTGGCAGAGCTAAAATCCAGACTTTCTCGTCTAACTCCAGTAAACATTCCATTGTGAGATGTAAAACCAGTTCCTTTTCCTTCTGACAACTATATTTCGATCTCAGAGCATGAATGGAACTCAGGAAAAGATGTGTTTGAGAGTAGATGAAAATATTCCTTTAAGGTTCAGTCAGCTTCCCAACTTTAGGTGTGACATTTAACTTGTTTGGTGTGTATCTCTGAGTTTTATAATAATGTTTCCTTATGTAAATATATGTGTATATATATATATATATATATATATATATATATGGAAACATCTCTTTTTCTTAACTCACAGATTTTCTTTTGGGTTTGGCAGAAAACAATTTATGGAAAGCACTTTATGAGTTCTAAAAACTACATTAATTTCAAGTTGCCTATTTTAGTTTTGTCATTTTCAAAGAAAATCATTGCAATACTAATACCATTCAGTATCTAAAAATTTCAAATAATGAGTGAAAAAGTCATTGTTTCTTTCTAGAGAAGAAATATTAAGCTAGCACAAAGCTGCACCTTTCATGAATTAAATTTTCTCTAACTGAGCATGCTAGTTCCAAAATAACTCAGGCACCATGTCCAGAATGTATCTCTGTAGTTGGCCGTGGGTGAATAAGTCTTTCTTAACATATGCAAGAAGTACTCCAGTGTCAGCAATTTCCTCCTTGTGTTTGCTTTCTTTTCCTAGTACCTAACCATTGCTTCACAACAAAATTTATTCAACCATATTTGTATGTGAACTAGCTTGGAATTAGTTTCTGTCTTATAAGAAGAATAAGCAACATGTTCAACTTATAGAAATTTTTGTTCTCTTTTTACCCTTACAATAGATTTCCTTCTGTGAGTAGCCTCATGATCTCGGGCTGTGAAGATTTAGAGTTTGGAGGATGAAGACAAACAATTGAATTTAGC